AGAAAACACCCTTGGTTTCATTCAACTCATATTCTAGTGAGAGAAGATAACCAAGAAACAAATTAATAAAGAAGTGATATAATTTCAGATAGTTTGAAGTGCTTTAAAGGAAAATTTTAAATGTTACTAAGACAGAGGTTGATGGAGAAATTTAGCCAGGATGGTCAGGAAAGACTTCTGTTCAGCTCTGTTTTAAGAATTATACCAAAAATTTGGCACTAAGGTAGGTAGAGGAAAAGGAGGAAGTCTAGGTATCATACTTTTTTTTTAATGTTTATTTTTGAGAGAGAGAGAGAGAGAGAGAGAAAGTGAGAGAGAGAGAGGGAGGATCAGAGGATCCAAAGCAGGCTCGGCACTGACAGCAGAGAGCCCAATATGGGGCTTGAACTCACAAACCGTGAGATCATAACCTGAGCCAAAGTCCAACCTCAACTGACTGAGGCACCCAGGCACCTCTAAGTATCATACTTTTAAAAATGTATAATGCTTTCAGAAAAAGGAAATGAAATGGTAAAGAGCCCTTAATGACCTCTTTGATTCTATTATCAAGATGTATTCAGCTCTCTTCACCTTTTCCATATGTATAACTGCACATATCCCTTCAAATCTATAGCTAACAATCGAGTTAAATAGTTTGATACAAATTAACAACAAATAGCTTCAAATAAGTGTGTTATATAACTGTTACTATAGTATTTAAGGGACCATTAAGCCACGAGGAAAGATCATGAAACTTGGAACAAGAGCTGTTGGTTCTAATATGCTTTGCTTCATTGCCTAGTATCTCTGAAGTTCTGGAAACATGACTATTTCTCTGAGACCCAATTCCCTTATTCCATAAAATGGAAAACATCATCTACCTCATTAAATTAATATAAAGAGTAAGAGGGTTTACAACAGTAAAATATTATGCAAATGTTAATTATATACTCATCTTGGGCTGGAGTGGTGGGTATGGAAAAGATCTATAAAAGAAAACTTTGAGCAGCGTCTTGAAAGATTGATAGAATTTAGAAAGAAGGAAAGAGGGGCATAGGGAAGGTTTTTGATTTGGATCAAGAACACAAAGCCCAGACAAAAAGAGCATAAAATGTATGTGATACATCATAGGACTTAGGAAGGCTCACTTTAGGAAGGTGACAGAAGTTATGGTCAGATTGTTGAGAGTTTTGAATGTCATATTTGTACTTAATGATTGCTCCTTCATGTTCTTCAAAAAGTGACTAGGGCGCCTGGGTGATTCAGTCAGTTAAGCATCTGCTTCTTGGGCTCAGATCATAATCTTATGGTTTGTGAGACTAGGGAGAGCTCCATATCAGGCTTTGCACTGACAGCATGGAACCTGCTTGGGATTCTCACTCTCCCTCTCTCTCTGACCTCCCCAGCTCGTGCTCTCTCTCAAAATAAATAAATAAACTTTTAAAAAAAGTGCCAATTCATTAGGTCTTTGAAACAAACTTTACTTATTTATTTTTTTTAAGTAAACAGTATGCCTAATGTGGGGCTCGAACTCACCACCCTAAGACGAAGAATTGCAGGCTACTGACTGAGCCAGCCAGGTACCCTAAAACAAACTTAAAAAAAAAAAAAGATATTTGCTATTTGTCATTTCTTAAGTATCAATTTACTTTGAAGCTAATGAAATTACTTTCTTGGTTCTCTTAAGGAGCACTGTTCTCAACAAAGTTTCATTAATATTTGTAAGTTTCAAGAGCACCAGTAAAAGATGTCAAGCTAACCTAAAAAAATAACAAGAGGAGCTTTATGAATCATAATTCTTCCTGGACTACTATCTTTACCACCAGAACTTCCCAGCACTTTATCAGTATAGTATATTAGTAATTCCCAATGATTTCAAGTTTTATACTGTGCCATTGCTTTATTTTACAATACTTTTCCTTCAGGAAGTACTATAATAGAATATACACACTTTATTTTATTCTACATTTTGTTGACTTAATAGTCTTTACAAAACAAATGATTTGCGACAAAATTTTAAAAACTTCAAAGTACTGTGGTGCCTGGCTGGCTCAGTCGGCAGAGTGTATGACTCTGGATCTCAGGGTTTCAGTTTGAGCACCATGTTGGGTAAAGAGATTACTCAAAAATAAAATCATGGGGGGGGGGGTGACACCTGGGTGGCTAAGTTGGTTGGGCATTTGACTTTGGCTTAGGTCATGATCTCACAGTCCTGAGTCTGAACTCCGTGTCGGGCTCTGCACTGACAGCTCAGAGCCTAGAGCCTGCTTCAGAATCTGTGTCTCTCCCTCTGTCTGCTCGTCCCTCACTCATGCTGTCTCTCTCTCTTTCTCAAAAATAAATTAAAACAAAAAAAAAAATTGGGGGCACCTGGGTGGCACCTTGGTTAAGTATCCAACTTTGGCTCGGGTCATGATCTCATGGTTCATGGGTTTGACCCCGATATTAGGCTCTCTCCTTCAACGTGGAGCCTGCTTCAGATCTTCTGTCCCCCTTTCTCTCTGCTGCCCTTCTCCAGCATTCTCTCTCTCTCTCTCAAAAGTAAACATTAACAATAAACTATTTGTAAAAAAAAAAAAAAAAGTAAACATTAAAAATAGTAAGATAGCACAAAACTGCTTTAAGAAGTTTATAAAAATCAGGGCACCTAGGTGGCTCAGTTGGCTGAATGTCTGGCACTTGACTTTGGCTCATGTCATGATCTCATGATTCATGGGACTGAGCCTAGCAAGGGGCTCTGTGCTGACAGCACGAAGCCTGCATAGTATTCTCTTATTCTCTCCCTCTTGCTCTTTATCCCACTCCCTTGTTTTCACTCACATTCTCTTTCTCTCAAAATATATAAACAAATATTTTTTAAAGTTTATAAAAATTACTAGAGTTATCTGAATCAGAAATATTTTCTTTTTTAAAAATTGATTTCTGGGGTGCCTGAGTGGTTCAGTTGGTTAAGCACTGACTTTTGATTTCTGGGTTGTGAGTTTAAGCCCCATGCTGGACTCTGCGCTGGGTGTGAAGTCTACTTAAAAAAATAAAATAAAATAAGGCACCTAGGTGGGGTCAGTTGGTTGAGTGTCTGACTCTGGATTTCAGCTCAGATCATGATCCCAGGGTTGTGGGTTTGAGCCCCGTGTTAGGCTCTATGCTGAGCGTGGAGCATGCTTAAGATTCTCTCTTCCCTCTCCCCAACTTGCACTCTCTCTCTCTAAAAAAAAAAAATAAATCGTAATAATGATAATAATTATAACAACAGGAGTGCCTGGGTGGCTCAGTCAGTTGAGCTTCTGACTTTGCTTCAGGTCATGATCTCTCAGTTCATGAGTTCAAGCCCTCATCAGGCTCTGTGCTGACAGCTCAGAGCCTAGAGCCTGCTTCTGAATCTGGGTCTCCCTCTCTCTCTCTGCCCCTCCCCTGCGTGTGCTCTGTCACTCAAAAATAAATAGACATAAAAAAAATTTTTAATAATAACAATAATAATAATTTCCTGGAAAGCCTAGTTGGCTCAGTTGGAAGAACATTCAACTCTTGATCTCAGGGTTGTGAGTTCAAGTTAAACATTGGGCGTAGAGATTATTTAAATAAATATAAACTTAAATACTTTTTCCTTTTCTTGGGAGTATAGGACTGATTTTATCCTATGATGGTATTAAAGTGTATCCTAGGAGTGCTTAGCTGGCTCAGTTGGTAGAATAAGTGACTCTTGATCTTGGGGTTGTAAGTTCGAGTCCCAAGTTGTGCATGGGGTCTCCTCAAAAAAACACCTCCTCCTCATAGAGCTTTCCTTATTTAAAGAAAAAAAAGTATCCTAATAAAATAGCCCAGTAACAACTTGCCCTTCTAACCCTCTTTGATAAGAAGTCACTAAAAAGCTTTACTAGAGGACTAGTGAACATAAAGCGAGCTAATCTCATACTCTCCTAGCAGTTTGGAATCAGTTAAAGTGTTCTCTACATTACTTTTCAATACTGAATCAGAGAATCAAAAAACTATAGAATTCTAGGTTATTATAATTTGATCTTATAAATTGATATTTGATGCTACGACTTTGTGTTTAAAGATTGTACCAGCGTGTCTGGGTGGTTGGTTGGCTATCCAACTCTTGATTTGGCTCAGGTCATGATCCCATGGTTGTGGGACAGAGCCCCATGTGGGGCTCTGCACTGACAAGGTGGGGCCTTTTTGGAATACTCTCTCCCTCTCTTTTTGCCCCTCCTACACCCATGTGCTCACAGCGTGCTCTCTCTCTCAAAATAAATAAACATTGAAAAAAGAAGATCATATCATCTATAGTAATGCTATCCAACAGAAATATAAAGTGAGCTACACATGGAAGCCACACATGTAATGTAAACATTTCTAGAAACCACATTTTAATAAAAGTGAAAAGTGAAATTTTTATAATGTATTTTATTTAACCCAGTAAATCCAAGACATTGTCATTGTGACATGTAATCAATATGAAAATAATAAGATCTTTCACATTCTTTTTTTGGTACTAAGTCTTCAGAATTTAGTGTTAATTTTACACTTCCACATCTCAGTTCAGATAGCCACATTCCAGGCCCTTAGCTTCAGTGGCTAGTGGCCACTGTATTAGCCAGTGTAGATTCAGAGGTTCCTACTAATGACCAGTGCTATGATCCAGTGTTGCAGAAACCTCAACCTGTGAACTTAAATATATCACATATACACATCTCTCACCTGCACATTTAGGGGAAATAAAACCTTAACAGATGTACTCTAAAGAAAAGTCCGTTATGACTTATAAAATAGTATCCAAGTGGGGCGCCTGGGTGGCTTAGTAGGTTGAGCGTCCGACTTTCGCTTAGGTCATGATCTCGCGGTTCATGGGTTCGAGCCCCGCGTCGGGCTCTGTGCTGACTGCCAGCTCGGAGCCTGGAGCCTATTTCAGAGTCTGTGTCTCCCTCTCTCTCTCTCTGACCCTCCCCTGCTCATGCTGTCTCTCTCTCTCTCTCTCCTAGAAATAAAATAAAAATTAAAAAAAAAAAAATAGTATCCAAGTGCTCAGTTCAACACCTATACTGTAATTGGAATAGCAATGAAAGATTAGCATGGCCCATGTGCAAGGATGACATGCAAATTTGTGAAGCATTTATTATCTTAAGAGGTAAATATGTGAGGCGATGGATTTGTGGATTAACTAGAGAGGAGGAATCCTTTTACAATGCAGACCTATATCAAATTATCACAGTGTGCACCCTAAATATCTTACAATTTTGTCACTTTTACCTCATTAATGTAGAAAAATAGTATTCTGGTTTTTTTTTTAAATGGACATGGGCCTTGAATTCACAAACCATGATATTATGACCTAAGCTGAAGTTGGACACTTAGCCAACTGAGCCACCCAGGCACCCCCATAGTATTCCATTACTTTTTATCTTAAAAAAATTTTTGAATGTTTATTATATTTTGGAGGCAGAGAGAGAGCGGGGGAGGGGAAGAGAAAGGTCATGAGATCATGACCTTAGACAAAGTCAGATGCTCAACAAACTGAGCCACCCAGGCACTGCCATTTTTTATCTTTAAGAAAAACATGCTTGTATTTTTTTTAAATAATACTTTACATTAAGAGTGAAATAGAGGGAATGGCTCCATTTATACATGCTTACTTAGTGTATACTTTTACAGTGTTGAAAGTAAAAGCAACCCTAGGAAATGAGGAATTTATATGATTTTCACTTTATTCTTTTCTAAAGTTTCTCCTCTTGTAAGAAGTCAGAGAAGGTATCAGAATCCCATGGAAAACTTAATTGGCTGGCTAGAGAAAGGGTAGTTGTAGTGTAGCCACAGTGAAACCAACAGCTCTTCAGAAGAAGACAAATAGCACAAATAAAAAAAGTCTGGAGCACAGAAGAGAGGGAGAGATTACAGGCTGCTATTTCACTGAACTGTCAGAATCTTAGCCAAGACTGCAATAAACTGATTATCCAGCAAGTTTGTTTAGCTCTCCAAATGTTTATAACTCAAATTACTTCTTTCAATTTAAATCAGTACCTAACCCAAACTATTAAGTATCTTTATAATATGTCATATCCAGTAAGTCAAAATTAAACCACTGCTACTATGATTCAACCATGATTCGAGGACTTTATTGCAAATATTAAGTATTAGGAAATGTATAAAATAAGCCAATATATTCTATAGTATTCAACAACTACTATAAAATTAGGCCACTGCCTAATTCCAAATAAAATGAGCCCGAACTACTGTAATTGCTTAAAGAAGGACATTTAAAGAGAAAAAATGGGATTCAAGAATAACTGAAGTTTAAATGGATGGTGTCTGGGGCACCTGAGTGGCTAAGTCGATTGGGCGGCTGACTTCAGCTCAGGTCATGATCTCGCAGTTCGTGGGTTCAAATCTCGCATCAGGTTCTATGCTGACCGCTCAGAGCCTAGGGCCTACTTCGGATTCTGTGTCTCCCTCTCTCTGCCCTTCCCCTGCTCATGCTCTGTCTCTGTGTGTCTTAAAAATAAATATATATTAAAAAATTTGTTTTAATGGATGGCGTTTAATTTTTGGCTCTTTAATATTTTAAAATGTAGTCTTTTTATTATCTACTTAGGGAGTCAAAGCAACAGTTATTGAGGCCCTCCTATGTTATATGCCATGAAGTATATAAAACAGTAGAAGGCATGATCCCTGACCTTGGGAGTTTACAATACAAATATGTAAAATAGTACCTAATGTCTATTGCTGCTTTCACTATATGGTGGAAGAGTTGAGGGGTAGCAGCAGAGACTATGGCCCACAAAACCTAAAAAAGTAAATGTTTTGCCTTTAACAAAAACGTTTGCCAACTCCTGTTTTACATGAATTATTCTTGACTAGAGGGAAAGGGAAGTCTAAATATGCACTATAGTAAAATTTTATTATATCTAACAAACTGTTAAAAACCTAGTTTTGGGGTGCCTGGGTGGCTCAGTCAGTTAAGTATGCAACTCTTGCATTCAGCTTAGGTCATGATCTCATGGTTTGTGGGTTTGAGCCCCATATCGGGCTCGATGCTTAAAGTGCAGAGCCTGCTTGGATTCTCTCTCTCTGCTCCTCCCTGGCTCGTGCTCCCTCTCTCCTTCTCTCAAAAATTAGTAAACATAAAAAAAATTTAAAAAACTATAGTTTTCACTATAAACAGAGCCTGGCTGATGATAAAATAAAATTTGTGTGTATTAATTCTCAACCTGGGCATATCTGCTAAGGGGAATATATTTAGAGTATTTAGCGTGGTGAGGTAAGCTATTTGTTTAGCAAAAAGGGGAATATGTTTTAAGAGGTTGACAAAGACTTTAATCATCATACCTCTATATTGGCCAGTTTAACAATCTTCATCTAACCCATCTCTCCTGGCCATAAATCACTTTGGCTGTCTCCCAAAGTCAAATTTACCTGCACAGTAGTTGATTCTCATTATTTGCTACAGTTATGTTCTATAAAGTTGTCATGGATGCTAAATTAGCGAATACTAATTTGTGAATACTAATACTAATTAGCAAATAATACTAATTAGCGAATACAAGTGAAATGGTAGAGTTAAGTCAAGTCGTCAATACATAATCTTGTTTTATGCATGTTTCTGTTTAGACACCTCATTTAATGGAATATTGAACTCGTGGCCAATGGTACTATAACTTGTATGAATCTTATCTAACACATGTATTCTCTCTCACATCATAGCCATCTTGTGCCCAGGACAAGACAAGGATTAGACAGCAATTCAGCCCTACGCTGAAATATTACTTTAAACAGTGAAATCACCAACAAAAAACATAAAAATGCAAAAATACTCTAACTAGATCACAAAGACTTCTTAATGAGAGCTGAAATAAGTCTAAGCACTGCTTTGTTTGGACCTCAACTGGGAACACAGGATTCAGATAGATAGATAGATAGATAGATAGATAGATAGATAGATAGGTAATCTTTTTTTGCTGCTCTGCCTATGCATATGTCTGCAAATGACCAGGAAAGCATCTCGAATTCTGATTTCAGGGTTACAAATACATTCTAGTGAGAGCAAATATGAAAGTATAGAATTGGTGAATTATGAAGGATCAACTGTATAATGATATACTATTACTGATAATCTTCTAAATTAGTGATGATCAGTTAAAAAACTATATTTGAGCAACAGCAACATTAAGTCCAGTCACCCAAAGTAATGTCTCTGAAGGGATATTTCTTTAGTATATATAAAGGAAAACAATGTGGGTGTATTCCACTCTTCCCCGTCTGCACGGAGTTTACTACTGCTTTAAGACTCAGCCTCTGGTTGGGCAAACATGAGCCCCAGCTTGGATTAGGTTCTCCTGACCTCCAGTTCCCATATGTTCCCCAGTATCTCCACTCTATCACTTATCACAATAGTATAACCATCTCTTTGGTTATGCCTTACCCACAGGGTTGTGACTTTTTTTCCTACAACTTTCTTTTTCTAGTATAAAGCCTTACTTATAATATATTGCTATTCAATTAACTTTTACTGAGTAAATAATTATGAAATGAGAAATTACAAGGACACAAAGTATAATGACTATAGTATACAATACAAGGGGGTAAATTTAAGTAATAAAAAGGTAAAATGTGTGCAATTTGCCAACCAACTATACTTGGGGATTTGGAACGATTTTAGATTGCCTAGTCTGTTTCTAGACTTAACGAAGTGTGCTCAGTTGGACTACTAATGAAAGTATAGAATATAGGAAGAGTACAGTTGAAGGGAAAAATGAGTTTCACCTAGAATATGCCTACCACACTATTAATGACCCCTTCATCTATGTTACTTCCATACTTGGTAAATTTTATTGCTTGCTAAAACTGCATTTGTAATTATCTATGTTGTAACAACTCCTTTCTCTGGCTAACTCCCCAACTATAATGTTAGATCATATAGGGAAAGGTTTATTTAATTTTTGACTCCCAAAAACTTAGTACAACAATATTTAATTGAATTGAATGTGGATTAAAATGTCAGCTGGTTAAGCAGCCGACTTCGGCTCAGGCCATGATCTCACAGTTGGTGAGTTCAAGCCCGGCGTCGGGCCCTGTGCTAACAGCTAGCTCAGAGCCTGGAGCCTGCTTCACATTTTGTATCTCCCTTTCTCTCTGACCATCCCCTGCTCATGCTGCCTCTCTCTCTCTCTCAGAAATAAATAAAACATTAAAAAGAAAGAAAGGAAGGAAGGAAGGAAGGAAGGAAGGAAGGAAAAGGAAGAAAGAAAGAAAGAAAGAAAGAAAGAAAGAAAGAAAGAAAGAAAGAAAAGCAAGAAAGAAAGAGAAAGAAAGAAAGAAAGAAAGAAAGAAAGAAAGAAAGAAAGAAAGAAAGAAAGAAGGAAAGGAAGAAAGAAAATGTCCAGGACAAAGTTGAATATTCTGAACTCGGGGCTAGGAAAAAAGGTCTTAGTTGGAAATAAAGCTTTAGAAAAGATTATAACACAAGTGGTATTTTAAAGTCTAAAGGAGTAATTTTTTTTTTTTTTTGAGAGAAAGAAAGAGGGAGGGAGGGGAGAAGGGGACAGAGGGAGAGACAGAATCTTAAGCAGGCTCCAGTTCCAGCGAGAAGCCTGATCCAGGGCTCAATCTCACAAACTTTAAGATCATGACCTGAGCTAAAATCAAGAGTTGATCGCTTAATCGACTGAGCCACCCAGGCGCCCAAGGAGGAATAATTTTTGGAAGAATCAAAGACAGCTTTAGGACGCACAGCATTTAAGGGGTACATCACTCAAGAGGAGATAATGAAAAACACTGAGAAGGAACAGAGACTAACTAGGCCAGGTAAGAATGGAATGGCAGATATCACTGATCATGAACCAAATAGCCATTCCTATCTTCTTTCTGGCTTACCAGATATCTACATTCTCCCAAAATAATAAACTCAAGGAAGGTCGGAGTTTGGGCCCCAGTCCTGGGGAATGACTCATGGTTAGTATAAATCAATTATAGTAATCACATTTCCTTTTGCCAGTGATTGGTGTAGGGGTGGCCAAGGAGATGTAAAAGAAATGCCCTGGGGAAATTTAGGCAGACACACCTCCTTATAAAGAAATACCCAGAAGAAACCCTAGCACTGCCTTTCTGCTTTTGGATAATGAAAACATGAT